AAAGTTTTCTTAAAATTTTGCTTAACGACAAAGTTTAATAATATTATTAACTACAATAATAAATCTCTTAAATAGTATAATGAATACATCCATGCCAACCCCTAAGAATTTCTCAAACTAGAACTTCTAATAAGTAAACTCTTCATAAAGAAAACCGAACAGTAATACAATAAATGTTCAATAACTTCTGAAATACTTTCATTTTGACATCTTCTATTTAAGTTTTTACTAAGAGCATCTAATCTAGTCTTTACCATCATTTACCTTGATGGACGTTATCCGATTAATACTATTCATAAAATTAACTAATTTGGCCTTTAAAAAAAAAACTATTTATCGTCCACTCTTAGTAAGTATGGCAAATAAAAAAAAACTAATATTATTATATATAAATATATGTACATGGGCTTTTGAATCACTTCGTTGGGGACAACAGTTCCGCAAGCGCAACACCCACTCAGACCAGGACCCAAGCTTGACTATAGTTTGCAGATCTGTAATTAGCGCTCTCTGTTCTCAGAAACAATTTAAAAGTACCTGCCCCTACCTGTGTACGCCCATGAGTGAGTACCGACTATTATCTAATATCATTAATCGTTTTGGTTACATGGTTACCACATTTCTTGCAAGAATCTTGACAAGTTTTTACAAACATGAGTTTTGCTCCTACATTATCTATGATTGACTTTAATTTTTATTATTTAAAATTGTTATGGCTAGATAATTCAATTTTCAATTAAGTCCAAGTTGTGTTAAAAGGTTTGGGATTAGAAATCTATTTAATATTAATTTACAAGTAGTTGAAGAATTTTCAGTGTGTGAAATACAAACAAGATTTTAATCGTATTGTGTTATATTTTCAGCGATAAAACTGTATCAATACAAATCAATTTAATGAAATTTATTACATTTTTATAGCTTATCTAGGGAGACGTTAAAATTTTAGTAGACAGTATTGCCTAGAATATTTCAATAGTAGATAAATTTATAACAATTAATTTACCGCCAGTGGTTGCTTTTCAACTTTTGCTGTCTTTCAGTTCTACCCGTTCCTGAGCTATAGTGAGGCATTTTGATCTACGATTTCAATTACTAAAATTCATTTGATTATATTATTTTATAATTTCAATTCTACGATTTTATATGATTAAATAGATATAGATATTTTCTATTAAGTCCCAATAATAAATGGTATGAGAGAATAAATTTTTGTGCTTTTTTATATATTAATTTCTATATTTACTACTATATACCTATTTGTCGTATTATAACAAAAACAATATACTACGATACAAATATTTCAAGTTATTTTAAATTGAATTAGCTTACAGAGTTTATGACAAGGCCCTGCAGTCTGCAGTCAGAGCATCTTTAAGAGACACTTCATGAAATAGATGTCGAAGCGTCTTAACGTTAACAACTACATTATAGCTACCCAAAAAGGTGATCTTATTCATAGCTATAATAATAGGAATATATATTAGTAATATATAGGCTTTAACAATCATATAAAGTGGGTACATAAGTTTATATAAACTATTTGGGTGAAATGCAAATAAAGTTTCATTACGCCTACATGTTCTCACTATAGTAAGACTGTAAATCTATTATATATTTAATTTCTTTTGAATACATATAAAATAATGCTGCTTTTAAGCCAGTGGTAAGAACTCAGCATTTGCTATCTTTCAGTTTGACCCATTAGTGAGCAAAGTCGAGGCATTTTGATACTCTATTACTTAACAGCACTAAAAAACTTAAAATAAACTCTATCCAAATTTGGCTGAGAAACTATCAATTCGTTTGAGAAACTATTATATATAAAATTATGAACTTAACCTACCGCTCTTTTCAAGACAAAATTGATTGTAGGAATCTCTACAATTTTGAATCCATTAATTGCTTTGGAGAAATTAACCATAGTACAGCTTTAATAGTGAACGTTGTACGTGTACTGTACACCTATTCGCAAAAAATTCAACACCCCAATTTTCCTTATTCCTTAATGTTAATTTTTTCTAACCGAAAGTGGCGCGTCCTATGAGGAAAAGAAACTATTTAAAAGTTAGAAGGGTTCAAATAGATATGAAAAGACAATAACAAAAACTTTAATTAATTGCTTTTCTGAATTACCAGATATAAACATTACAAATATGTCTCTGGAAAATTGATCTATCCACAACATTAGCAACGCAAATGCGCTTAGAAGATAGAAAATATAGAAACCCAAAAAACTGGGGTTTTTATATATCCATAAAGCAACATATTACATTATTAAAACGCTACTTTATCCAAAAAAACGGAGAGTAGTAGCAAAAACAACAACAACGTTTTTGTGTAAAAAAGTAAGCAAATTCGGAAAAAGAGCAATTCATGTATGAATCCATGTCTCCCACGGGATATCCATAATTAAATCGGTTTAATTTTGTTCTGGAATCAATTAGTAATATATTTACATAGATTTAAAAAAACTTTTAATAAATATTTGTATTTAAACGAAATGAACGGTTAACATTATTTTAATATATTTATATGGAAATCATTGTTATTCAGGCATGATCAATGCAATATTGAGTATTGTTGTGCATTTAAAATTTACTGAATAATTTAAAAAAGATAGTTCCAAAAAACTCATATTATTATCAAAATTACATAAATTTAAAACTGTTTCAATTTTTATTTATATTTGATAAGATTTTATTAAAAAAAAATATTTCCACAACTTTAAATCTTGATTTGCATATTTTCTTAATATCTTCACTGAAGATAAATATCTCTTTGTCTTAAAGATATGTGAGATACATTTTAACGCATAGCCCTAACATTTAGAACACAAGCGGGACTAAGATTTTACGATAGCCTCAATTTTCTTATAAAAGCTATTAAAATAAGTAATTAAAATTTTTTACTATCAAAATCTTGTGTATAATTAAATTTTTATTGATATTTTATTGCTTATATCACGTGCTAAACTTTCCAAAATATTAATTTTTGAGTACCCAAAAATATTCGAAGATTCCAAAAACTTTTAATTAAGTATTTTCAATTTGCTATAAATTAATCATGTACAATTAGATATATGGACTTTAACATAGAATGTCTTTAATTTTTTTTTTTAAGTTTGCTTGACCAAACACTCTTCAAAATAAACTGTTTCAAATGTGCATCAAAGATTCTTATTTGAATTTATTTTTATTTTTTTACATTTACATATAAAAATTATTTGTACTTTAATGCTTTCTAGATGCTTTCAAGTACAGTACATTTAAATTTACATTTCTATAATTATATAATTAAGTATATAATTTTGTTCAGAAATCACAAATGATTTGGATATACAGTAGCTTGAATTGAACATTTAAGCCAATTTAATTAAATTTGATTATTAAGTAATCAATAACTTTATACAAATTATTTCAGCTCACAAGAAAACATCGTTGTTATTGTTATTTCTTACATATGATTTATGCATTTGCCTCGTTATTACCGGTTCTCTTATGCTTCTTAAATCAAATCTTCATTACTTAGAGATATATAAAAGCATATTAAGAAAGACCACCATTTAATTACTTAACAAAAGCGCATTGCAAGGAAAACAATACTTTCTAAAAATAGATATACATATGTAGAGAAACCAATAATTGGCTTTTACATGCGTCCGTGAAAGAGATTCTTCACTAACGTATTGTCATAATTCAAAGAAATTTTAATAAATAGTTGTTTAAAATATAAGTATAAACTTATATTTTGTTTTTTTTTTTAAATTAAATATGACCTTAACAATTCGTTAAAGATCACTTCACTAGAGATACGGTTAACCTCTAAGCCTTCTTCCTTCAACTATCGCTTAAAATACATTTTCGCCGGAGTATCTTCATTCATTCTTACGATATGACCTAACCATAGAAGCCGCTAGATTTTAATTCGCTGAATTAAATCAATCGTGATAAAACTGGTAAAGCTTGTGATTCATTCAGGTACGATAGTCAGCACCAACTCGTAAACGATCAAAAATCATACAAAAAACTTTTCCACAAAACCGATTAATCCATTTTTCCGAAAATATAAAACTGGCATAATACTAAGTGAGGAAGTTCAAAGAATGATTGTCCGGTTTTCACAAAAAAAAATGATTATAAAAACCTGGCTGAGAGCAATTTTTGGTCAATAGTGCAAAACAAAAGACACTTTTTGAAAGACAAAGTGTTTTATATGTCTCTGATGTCACAATGGGCCATTACTTAAGCTTAAGCCCATTACTTAAGTGATGTTTTTGGGATATCTTATTCAAATTTCTTGAATTTAACCAAATAGTTTCACTTATATTTGATCAATTTATGCACACTTTGACTGAAATCTGCAGAGAGCAATAACTTTGCCTCTATTCGCCCAATTGTCATCAAATTTTGACAATTTATCAGAGACGGATCTACTGTAGCGGATCTACTGTAGTCTTGTTGATTTTGAAAAGCTTCGTTGGACTCTACCTTATAGGTAATTTTAAGTAAAACATTGTTTTTTATTAAATTGTTCCTGTGGATTTATATGAGCAGTGACAAAAACTTTTACGGGTTTCCTATGTGATTAGTTGACATCTACACTCACAACCAAATTTATTTTTTATAAAAATCTTAAATTCTAATGTAATTGCTATATAAACTTTAGATTCTTAAAACTTTTTAGTTGAATTCTAAATAAATCCGCAGAAAGGGTATTTTGGCTTCAAAAAAACAATAACCAATTTTTTTTTATTTTTTTTTTTAAAAATATAACTTCATTAGTTTCAATCTTTTAGGAAAAAAAATAACAGTTTTAAACGATTTCAAAAAATCAGATAATAAAAAATCGTTCATCGTCCCCCAACTCTTCGCTCCCATCAAGTAATCCGTTTAATGAGTAAACATTTAGTAAAATATTTCCTTTCTGACTGTTTGGAACTTTGCGGAATTCCTTCCGCAAACCATAACATGCCAAGGGAAAACAAAAACAAAATTACTTACTTAGCGGATGCTTGTACCAAATTCCAATCGTATCCTTCCAACACTTTCATAACCGCACTGGTTATGCGCTCATCCTCTTTACGGCCGCTGCCTATTTCGCCGTTTGCGCGTTTTTGTTCAGCTTTTGCGGCATAATTTGCCAAAACAAGCGTTTCAACAGGTTTAGCGCGTTCAGATTTCGTATCTGGCGGGCTTTTTTCTTTATCCATGATTTAATAACTCACAAATTCTTAACAATTTAATTACGAAACATATAACATAAATTTAGTAAATTATATACAAAATTTCAAACAAAATGAAAATTTTAAACATTTAAATTAATTTGATTCCTTTCTCATAACAAAAAAATTATATACACCGTCGGCTTTTTATTTGCTTAGTATTTGTTAATATTTTACAATACACCAACTAATAACGCTTAACACTTTTTAACCGAAGCTTTAAGTGCACCACACGAAACCCCAACGAAAACTGTTGTTGATCTCGATGACAAATTAGCTTCACCCACCACCACCAATCAACTTTGTAGTTGAGCAGCGCTGCCAACAGCTAACAGCAGCTAACAGTAACAAACGACTACGAACAACAGCTACGACGATAAGTGCACATAAATCTACAACAACATAAGCCGACATAACACGAGTGCTTCTATATGTAATATTTCTATCAAAATTTTAGTGCTGTCGACGTTCAAGTGCTCGACCGATCATTTAAACGGACAACCGAGCGAGCATTGGGCACACATTTTCCTTGCTATATCAGCAAATATCACACAACGCACAAAAACCACAAATCCACATTAGCATGTAGTTGTAAATTGAGTTCGTACGCAGCCTACGTATGCGTTAACTGTTAATGTTGCGACTGCGGCTGCGTAGACGTCGACTTTCGCCCCTTAAATAAGAAACAAAATATCCACTGCCACTTTACGACCACATGTTGACTTATGATTTTTTTATACATTTATTTTCGTACAATTTTGATTTGTTATTTTTTTGTTTTTTTTTCTGTTTTTGTGTTGTTATTTCTATATTTTTATTACTTTTATATTTTGTTGTTGTTGTTGTTGCTGAGTTTAGAATCATTTAAGTAGCAACTTGTTACATTTCTTCATTCTTCGGAGGAGTATTTACTTTGTGTGCGACAGGCGCAGCTTTACGAATTTTCATTAATTGATTTTTTTTTCTAATAATTGGATTGTGAGTTTTATTGCAGTGTAGAGCATAAAATCACTATTAATGTCGAAATATGTTTTTGTTATGCTATATTATTATTTGAAATACAAAAAAAAAATTTTTGAAATCTAAAAAAAAATTATAAGGGTTTGCCTGGAAAAACTAACACCTTTAAGGAGTTATTATTGCCATTCAAGCAATTAAATGTATACACTGAGATTAAAATGTATGCATACATGCATATGAAGACGAAGTAATAACAGCAATAAATATCGAATCAGCTTGCAGTCCTCTCAGTGCCGTAAAGTTGAAAATATTTGAGCTATTTGTAGTTGTATGTCTAAGTACCATAAGATCGAAAGAAGTTAATAATTTTTAGTAGTTGAGTCTATATCAGCTACTGGCTTGAAATATTTTTCCGTACTTACCTAATAATACTTTCTCAGTGGTGCAAACACTTTGATGCAGAGGGCCGCAAAAATATATATATGTATATATTTAGACATTTTTGGTTTAAATATATATATATTTATATTTATATTAATTTTTACGAAATAATAATATATTTATATTTTCAACAAGACTAAATAAACGTAGGTTACAGTAGGTTGAAGTAGCGGTTTTGTGCCCAAAGCCGACTTGAGTATATCTGGATATATCACGGATTATGTGCAAACATTAAGAGGATCCCGAAAAGGCGCGCTGGTCATCGTACAAATAAACCCGAAAAACACGTTTTTCCCATTTAACCTGACCTAAACCTGACATTCTCATTGAATCAACCTGACAAGTCTTTAAGCTTGACCGAGCCCGTAATTGTTCAGGATAATAGTTACGTCAGATCGGCAAGAAAAGGTTAAGATCCCAATGATCTTCTACATTTCTTGTCCAGTTTGAAGCAGATCAAACTTGAGATCTGACAAAAGAATTCATCTGGCTAATTTTGTTCAGCTCTACTTAAATATTTTTGTTTAGTTGCAAAAATATGCCAATATCTTAGTAATAAATGTCAAGAGCAGAATGTCGGCTCATCTACCCTACAGTTGCCCGAGATATCCCTGTGCCCAGCTACTCATATGAGCTGATCACTGACACGCTTAGCTATTTTATTAGAAACCTTTCTTTTCAAATAGCCCTCTATATATATATGTTTACTTACTATATATCTATTACAATATGCCAGCTTAAATAGACTATTAACTAACTAACATTTACCATTCTATGGTATTTAATGAAATGATACGATCAAGTGTACTAAGTGTTTAAAACAATGATTTCTCGTTTACTATGTCACTTACCGAAATTGTTATTCGTAATAGTGAATATCTGTACTAAATTAATAGTAAACACTATTATATATGTTAGTTTATAATAAAACAAATTTTTTTTCTTACAAATGACGTCAAATAATAATAGTATTATAAACCGTCGTATTTGAGCCACACTCTACCAACTGAGCTACCGAGGCACAATATATAAGCTTTTCAATTCTTAGTTCTTTATATTACCGATATAGCCCGCATCTTGTCTCTTCATCGCGCTTTATAAATATACATGCAATAACCCTTTGTCATACAGTAAAGTAATTTCTTAGTAATTACTACCAAGCAAGTACATCTTTCCTTCCTCCCCTCACTTGTTTTCAATATTGGTTTATATATATTTGTTTTCGAAATAATAGGCCTTCTATGTTATATCTTCCCCTTGATTATTGGAATGCGATTTTAGCTTTAGAGCTTTAAGAACCAATGTCTTAAATTAGTGTATCTATTTTGCATTCTTAAGAGGTGTTCTAAGTGAGTGGAAGTCTCACACTGTGGTGTTCGATGTTCACCATACACCGAAAAAATTAAAAAATTATTTGTTAGTTACTAAATTTAATAAAATCTCTCGGGTATAAAGCATTTGATGGAATTGGAATAAAAAAACACATGCAATCCACATACTAAATGCTAAAGGACCATAATGGATTTTAAGTAACTTAAACTTAATGTTCAATATCTTTTAAAAATCTTTAATATTTTTTATTAGTACTTAAAAAGAAAATCAACATCTGGTAACGGTGTGCCCTCAACATTCAAGATAAATTCTAAACTTATTTTCGATATTAAAAAAAATATCTCTCCATTCTTCTTTAATCTTCGCCTGCCATTAGACGAACCCTACGATGCTTTAATAACATTTGAGCCGGAGTCGGAGCCTGAACCTGCATTTGGTTTTGTTTATAAAATTTTAAATACAAATTTAAATAAAATTTGTGTTTGCGAAGAAAAGAATTCACATGAAATCTCCAACAGCAGAACCAGCCGTAGCTGCTTTTTTCCCAAAGCCCAGTGAAGATCAGAAGCGGTGAAGATCAAAAATTTCGATTTCATGCCATGTTGCAAATTGTCAGCGTGTGCTGCCGTTCATCCAACGGCGAGCAGTTGGAGTCGCTATTTCCGTTCGCCGTACAATGCAAGGCGTCCAAAATGCCGCTTGTAGCGTATGGCCTTTTTATGACATTTTTTGCACTTCCAGCCCAGCCCAGTTTACGATTAAGATTTTGATTTTAATTTTATTCAATCATTTTCAGACTTTTTGTAGGCGAATCGTAGAGTATCTGGGCAATATTGATAAACGCTTCAATATGTTATGGCGAACGTTTTTAATTTGCATTTCAATTTGTATTTCAAAAATGCCGCCAACGCTTCTGTTTGTTGTTGCAATTCGCAATTCGCAATTCGCAATTATCGGAAGATAGCCGCCATGTAGCCATGTAAGCCGCGTAAGTCGGAGAGAAGATGGTTGAGTTGCATTAGAAGTTTGCATTAAATTTAAAATTATTCTCGTTTTAATAAAACCAATTTTAATTGCAGTTCAAGTAACTTCAACGAACTCAAGGGAAATTCTGCACTAAACCAGATACGAAATTTATAGCTTTTTTGCAAGAATTTCAAAGCAGACAATGGAGCGGCATCTTTGTAAAAGAAGCAATCCGAACTTTCTTTCGAAAAACATAAAAATTGAATACATAATAAAATACAATACAATAATTTTTAAAATTAATTTTAATTTATTACTTAATTTTTTATTTGTTTTAATTACAAAGCTGTAAAAAATTACAATAAAAAACTGGATCGTCAGTCCTCCAACTAGAATTTGACACTTGGGTTACATTTTTTCGGGATGGCAGACATTAAATCTTTCTCCTATTTATAGCCATTAAAGTATGGAATGAGCTACAAATTTTTATGTTTTAATTGTAAACTTAATTTCTCTTCGATATTCGAACATAAATTTTCAACCGATACAGAAGAGATCAAAGGGCGCACAGAGCGGAGAGGCTTGTAAAAATTTGGTAAATACAACAACAACAACAAAATATTCGAAATATTTAAAGAATATCTGAAGCCACAAGTGTGACTATCTACGCATGACTCCGAATTTATGACTGCGAGTTGTGAAGCGCGGCTTTTTAAGTGTTGTGGTTTCGTTTGAAGATTTGGAAACCCATAAAATCTAACCAAAATTTAAAACAACACGTCTAGCAAGCTCGGTAAAAATCATACGCTAATAACTTAAAATTTTATTGAATGTAATTAGATTTTTGTAACCATAAAGATATTAAAAAATTTTATTTGCTTGTCTGAAATTAGTAAAATATTCTTTGAACTTCTAGATACAATATTTTAATAAATATATTTATCTACTAATATGATGAAATACTTAGAATTGCAGTAAGGAGCTCAAAACTGTATACTTAATTTTAGTAAACTTAATCCTTTTTTGTAGTAGATGGAAAGGCGAAAGCCACAGCGTAAGACTTGAACGCACTTAAATCAACTCTTAGGAAAGGTCAAACGCCATCCCAGTGGGATTTCGGCTAATATTATTATCTATTTTTAAAAGATATTAAACATTAAGTTTAAGTTCCTTAAAATCCATTTTGGTGCTTTAACATTTAGTATGTGGATTGTGTGTGTTTTTATTTAGTTCCGTTAAATGCTCTATACCCGACAGATTTCCTTTATACCCGACAGATTTTATCAAAC